GATCGTCGATTCAGTGCTGTTCGAAAGCCATGCCTAAAACGACACAGTGTCTACGGTTGCGTGACAAATGCTGCAAGTAATCTCTGATTTGTCATTCCTTCGAAGTATGAAACGTGGTGGATAAGCTAATCAGAAATCGAACCCTTAAATCGTCTGTTTCTGTGTTTAGTGTATCGCTTTATTTAATGATCTACCCGGATAACAGAACTGTGTACTACAATTTTTCCTTTCGTTGAAACAGTCGTGTTGATCAGTATCATTGCTTTTCATTATGTCTCTCTCCACATGAAATATTTCTATTCTTTGCTACCTCAAACCATGAAATGATAATGCATGATATCAATCGAAATCGGTACATTTTGGTCCTCACGGTGGTATGTGTAAATTGATCTGTGATTCCAGCGTAATAATGGCGCAGATATACGTTAACGGAACTAATAAATTATTATCATGGTGGCTTGTAATAAACTAAACAATTTGTTAAGGACGAAGTGGCTTCAGGGTCTTTCTTATGTATTAAGTGTGATGTCTGTTTAAAGTACTAAAGAAAGTTATTCCGAACTAGGTGGAAGGACTGGAGGCGCCATACCATCAGGATTTATCGCCACAGAGATTACGCAGATTCTGTTCGAACAACGATATTCTTATTGTATTGCATATTAGTGCTTATAATAATAGGGAATATGAAACTGATACGCTGTCGAGGGCACTGCAGAAGTTGTGACCTTTTTCCTCTGCCAGGCCAACCACGGTTGGAGTTTTGATTAGCAGAATAAGGAAAACGTTGTTTTTCAAGAAGCTTCTCTGATGTATGAACTGGAATAGAGTGCATAAGTTCAGTAAAGCGATGTTATACAATTTACAAGCGTTTAGTACATATGTTTTAAGCAAATTACTATTATCGAGCAACTTTAACGACAGTAGCGAATGAATTCTGACTCTGACTTAATGTATATAATTGTTTTTACAGTCGAGTCGCTTTTGCACTGACACCGGAAGAACGTCGACGATATTTTCGTGCTCTAAAGTCATGATTTGACTTGCAGTGCCAGTAGCTACTGTCACGTCATCGTAATAGCGGCACAGACTTTAGGAACGGACTCGATATAGCTTAGTTCTTGTTTAGGACGCCCAATACATGTCTGTTTCGTGACGGCGGCTTGTTTGTCGTGCTTCTTGTTTGGTTGTGATTTTGTTTTCGTGTTCTGTGTTCGTTCTGATTAGTTTGGCTAACAGTAGTTGAACATGCGTTGACTCGTATTTGTTGGCCGGTGTTCCATATCAGTTGGTAGTAAAGCATGTCTTGTTTGTTGTCAAAGCTTGTTATGTTTGTTGGTACTGTTTTTTTACGAGTGGCATAATTATTTCTCTCAATCGCCCAACGGTTCAGCGATGTCAGTCATCCATGTGGACATTTGTATAAGGCTGAGTACTAAAGTTACGACTTTTAAATAAAAACCATTTTTTTAAAATCAAAAGTTAAGACCGGTGGATTTTTAGTCTCTTTACTGTCGCACAATTAGGTTTGTTTTGTGGCACCCTTCTTTAATTGAGCGTGTAATGCGGTGTTGATCGCCGTCTCTGTCATCAACCGAAAGCGGCATGAGGTTATTGTTTCTTGCGGTTAACACTACAGCTTAGCGACCATTCGATCATTCTGTTTTCTATCTTTTCTACGAAACGGTACTCATTGGTCTATATCATAAGTATGAATGGTAATGTCTCACTGAGCAGCCTCTATCTGTGTTATTATTTGTAAAACTATCGTGCGGATTATCGGATAAATCAGTTTCAGAAGACTCTCTTACCCCTTCCCCCTTACTTTTCACAGCCTTTAATTCTTTTCTGATCTGGAGAATACCTCAGGATTATTTCCAGACGTCCCAGTTTGCCGTCGATCAGACTAGCTTCCCGGACTGGATTTAAGGGCATGTCAAAGATGCATGTATGTACCCGTAATGTCTTATAATACATTAGTGGCCACTTTGTTTTATTCGTTCAAAAGCTGAGGTAAAATAATAGGGGTTAGCGGTTTTGAGCTTCCCTAAATATTGTAGCGACGAAATCAGCCTTAGGAGAACTGCAACCGAGGTTCGTGTTCTGAAGGCATTACAAACCTGGGGTGCTTAAAGCTTTTCAAAAATGCCTCATATTCCAGTCACTTTCAGTGCAGTGATGTAGCGATTAATCTTATGATAACTGCTACTGTCTTCTTGAGATTCTCAGGAGGAAAACGTAACCAGCCACTGAACCACCCCTCCTAGTGTAACAAAATACACATACTATTGAAGTTATCACAGAAAAGCACTGTGATATGCAAGTTTGGATTACTCACCATGTCTTTTAGGCGTCAAGATGGTAGTTTATTTCGACAGAGAGATTGCATCCATCGTATCTTTGTGAATTTTGTTGTTTTCAAAGAAAAGCCAAATATTTTCAACTGGTGTTCTGGGACCTCTGGTTTCTGTCGTTAAACAGTACGTTAATGAATGGTCGTTTAGCCAGGATCTGTTCGCAGAAACGAAGTTATGCGGCAGCGAAGTCTACGGTGGTGGCGACCTTCGTCCAGATATTCAATTAAATGACACGGGCGACCAGAGTCGCAGTGATCAGAATCATCATCGAGGTTTGCAATGTCGCGAAACGTTAGACATTGTTATTACTCATGAACCCGCCATGGCAAAAGTACCCGACAGGTTTTTCGGCATGTTTCTCACTTGTTAAAAGCGGTAAACTTCAGAACAGTCCTCCGCGCCAGACCGAAGAGACCGCATCGACAGACTACTACCGACAGATCATCGAACAAAAGTCTTCCAAGTCGGTTACGGTGCAAGTTCTCAACCAGAACGCCAAGGTAACCGTGTGCTGTGCACTGTCGATCGGTATATCACAGAACACAAGTCGTACTTTTCTACTCTTCAGTATTCTCCTTCGATGTGTTCTTCTTTCGGCTTGGCCGGATGTTTATTGAAAAACACCTCATACCGTTAAATTACGTCCCGGATGTTAGGGAAACACCAAAACTTGAATAGTCACAGCTGTATTCTAATAGCGAGGAGGCGTTGTCGTGCAGTTTGTTACTACTGGCTTCGAAATATTTGCATGTCATAAAAATCTTTGCCTTGTTAACTCTAATCGCATGACGCTCGTCTGCTTGAAATAATCTTATCGCAAACAAATTACTAAAGGGTCTATCAGAGTAAGAATATCAGATACTATCTCCACTAAGATCTGATGTTAGCGTTATTTCGTCTGAAATATTTGGTCTTACTGTAGCAGCTAGCCGTGGGGGTCTGCTGCGATGAAGGTTCTGTGCTTCAGCGGCCGGATGATTAGTCCTGTTCGGAGAAGGCGAACCACTGGTGGTAAAAAAACTTAACACCGCATAAAGATAAATCTTTATCATTCTGGTCACGTCCGTAACCTGTTTCAGTAGCTTTTGTTCAACTTGATGACCACAGTCATTTTACTACCTGATTTTGTTTCCTACTCTTGACCGTAACGATTGCCGCAGAATAACCAATGCATGTTAAATAATTTGGTCACCTGTTTAATGAGACTATTATTCGTTGTACTGCGTATTTCAATATCCCCTTCCCCGGTAATAACAGAGCAGTGCAGTAATACTACTTAAACTGATCTGATGGTATATTTCGCCATATACTGTAGTAAGATATTGTGGCCCGCTTTTGAAAGAATTGTTTTAAAACATGATTTTGCAACGTTAAGCTTCTCTTTTGCAAATTCAGCGACGCACAGCACTACTGTTCATCTCATGCTTGCGCCTATACTTTATTACGATTAAGTTACTACCTATTCAAAACTATCTTAGTACTTTAACTGTATTATAGAAAATTTTTCAGTACTTTTGCACACTTTTGAGATAGGTATTGAAATCGTTGCTTTTAATTTATTACAAAAAGAGCCTGAGTAAAAATGATTTAATCAGAAATGCTTTGCGATTAAAAAACTTTTGATTAAAATTAAATTATAGCTTATTAAATCACTTTATTTATTTTTGTTCTACAGTGAACACTTTATGAATATTGTACTAGATACAGAATTGCACTGTACTGTACTAGATTATACAAGATAAATTGGGGTTTACCACCAAAAACCTGTTTGCACTGCTACCGGCGGCGGGAATAAGAAGTACATGTCATTTATAATTAGATTTGCACAGACCAGTCACAGCATCCCATTCCTTCTAGATGTCTGAAGGATCGCTGATATGGATTTGACCCATATATTGCATAGATGATGGAGCCGAGGCCGAAGTAAATAGCGCCATGTGTCTCTAAAGGCAACGACTATTTCACCTGAGCCGTATAATATACTTGAGTCATAATTTCCAAAGTTAATATTTTAAATAAAACGATCCTTGTAATAGAGAAGAAATATTACGATCTAGTTGGTATACTCGGAAGAAAAAAATATATCATGTCGTCCCTTGCCAATCAACTGTAGATGAAAATCATTCTTAAATATGATTTGATAAAAGTAGCAGTACTTATTACTCAATGTACAGTGAAATGGAGACGGGTAGAGAGCAAAACCCAAACCATGATCAGCTCTGTAATTAATTTATATTAAGGCAAGGATCGGCTTGAGTTTTCACGCCGCAGTTGGCAGCGTTTAACTTAAAATAATTTATCAACGTTTATTACCTTAATAAATGTCGATTATTTGCAGCCAAGCAATGTTGCTCTATAAAACCTGTTTCAGGTCACAAAGCGGATACTTCTGACTACGACCAACGGGAAGTGACGAACAAACGTCGCGTGTCGCATCTTCGTCGCCGCTTAGTGCTTTGCTTTCGTTGTAATCGTTGAGACTGTCGACTAATGTAGTTGTTGCCTAGCTTATATGTAAATCATTTATATGGCTTTAGTCACACAGCATTAAAATTCCATGTCGCATATTACAATCCATACATGACGACAGAAACAGACGGTCTATAAACGTTGCCTATGTCTGTGCGCATGCTCTCCTAAGACGAGGACGGAAATTCGTACAAGACATCGTAATGTTCAGGTCGATAAAGGAATACCAATGCTGGCGAACCATGAGGTTCGTGGCAAAAATC